GTTTTTCAGTTATGAAGCCGGAGCAATCATAAGTAAGGTAATCAGTTATAATGTTTTCAAACAATTTAGGTATTATGCTGAGAATTGAGATGGGTCGATAATTTTTGATGTCAGATTTGCTACCCGATTTGTATATTGGGATAACATAAGAAAGTTTCCAATAATCAGGAAACTCTCCTGTGTCGATTGATTTGTTGAAAATATGAAAGAGAGGGCGAGACAGTATGAAGCTGCAATTTCTTAGTAGGATGGGAGGAATAGTGTCAGAGCCTGGCCCTTTTTTTATATCAAGGTTTGACAGTTTATCGTAAATGGTCGAAATTGGGATGTAGTATGAAGAAACATTAACTTTAGATTCAATTTGGCTATCGTTTAAATTTAGGATATGTGTGGTGTAGAGTGACGAAAAATGCCTTGCAAACAGATTAGCTACTTCACTGCCGCAACATGCAAGAGAGTTCTCCAAATTCATTTGATCAGGTATGCTGTTAATTGCTCTTTTACTATTAACAAAATTCCAAAATGATTTAACGTTAGTCTTAATAGAGGTTTCAACAGAATTTATAAAATTTGAAATAGCATTCTCTGGATAAAAGCTTACATTGTGCTCTTAACTGACTAAATATTTCATAATTATAGGTAGTCCTGTTATGTTTATAAATCCTGTGAGCAACCTTTTTATCATTAACCAAGCTCCTAAGCTGCGAGGAATACCAATGTGGAAATTTTTTCGTAGAAACTTTCCTAATGGGAACAAATAACTCAATTACGGAAAATAGAGCTTCATAAAAAATGGAAATCATCTCGGAAAGTTCCTTATCTCGAAGAAGCCCGTCCCAATCCATGTCTTCCAAATATTGACGTATACCCGTGAAATTGGCGTTGCGAAAATCATAATAACACTCATCACCGGGAGCCACACTTCTGTTCAACATAAATTGTACTGTTGCTTCCAGAGGAGGGTGATGCGCATCAGGTGAGATCAAAATGTCGTCGGCCAGGAGCACTGTTAGTTCAACAGGGGACAGAACTAGGTCAAAAATAACACCCCTTGTGTTGAAGACATTGTTAGACTGGAAGATATTGTACAATGCACATATATTCGAGACTATTTCGATAGCACTTGCTTCAGCCAAAGAATATGTGGGTTGAGCTGTAGCTGAAGAACAGAAATCTTCAATTTGCCATATTGCCGTAGGTAGATTGTAATCTCCAAACAGGTAAATTTGACTGTCTGGATATTGCTCGTTTAGGATTAACAGTTGATCATAATGAAGTTGATATAGGTTAGCATGAGATTTGGGAGGAATGTATATGGTACCTAAGATGTGTTTGCACTTACTTTGGTCCAGGTGAATAAACAGTTGCTCGATTGAAGGGTTTGAGTTGATAATTCTTGAAGAGAATCTTTTCTTAACAGCAATTAAAACACCACCTCCTCTGCTAAAAATGCTTGTCTGGGTTGTACGATCCTGTCTGTAGATGTTGTAATCGTGTAAGCCAAGTTCGGCATCGTTTATCACGTCGGTAAGCCATGTTTCCGTAAGAACAATTACATCGTATGAACAGTTTGAGATATTAAGACTTAATTGAGATAGTTTGATTCGAATAAATAGACAGCTTGCCCGGATTTACTAGTTTTTTTTTTGAATTATCGTAGGAGTATTGTTGACATATTTTATTGTTAAATCTTGACAGTTTCCAGTGTTTTCCTCTGGTTGATAGTTTGGTCAAGGTGTATAAAGATCTTTTTTTCATGAGCAATATTGTTTTTATTTTTTATAATTTGGTGCACGTCCCGAGGGGATTTCATGACAACTTTTAGAGGTCTATGCCCATTTCATATAACATAATACAAAAAATTACAAAGGTATGATAGTAAATCAACGAAATCTCGTCGAGTTCGCGCATAACGTATCGCGATGTGACATCTGATTGGTCATGGATTAAATTCAGATGATATCTTAAATTTGTAAAAGCCACGCCTCTTCATAGTCTTCGCCATAATACGTCACCGTGGCGTACTATCAATCTGCTTAAGATCACCTTCTTTTTATAATATCTTAATTTGAACCTATTGGAAAAGAGTTTCAAATTGAAAAATTTGATAATAAGCGCTCTACAATCAACCTTTGTGTTTTTACATAAAGTGTTAAGTGTATAATTGCTTTCGATCTTTCGTTCCAAGTTAAATCATTTCTCGTTTTTGTTACGCTACGAGTTTACCCTTGTGGGCCTCACTCTCGTTAAGGTGGGAACCACCATTTTAGCGTCTCTCGAATTTAGTTTGAAAAAGACATCTTAGCTAAAAAAATGAAATACACTTCACCTGTTAATAAAAATATGACCAGCTAAATGTGTAGATTTATAAAAAAAATCCTAATTAATATTCCTGCGATAGAAATTACTACTCAAAGCGTAATTTCAAGAACCTAAACCGAATTAACTCGATTTAGGAAAAAGTAAAGAAACCAAATTAAAAAAAGAGCAACAAAAAAAAAGAAAAATGACCGAGGCGGAATATCAAAACAAATAGTGGGTGCGGTTTTCCGGGTTTTCTTCATCGGTAAGTCGCCGGAGCGCCACGGCAAATAATAATAAAAGCCGTCCCATCCCCTACACAAGTCGTTCATTCAACAGACACAAATAGACTAATAAAAATAAAATAATAAAACGCAATGCTACGCTTATGACAAGACATTGTCGACAGTTCTTATTGACAATTTTTTCAACCTTTAAACGTTAAAAACCCTAAACTAAAAAGTATTTTTTACATACAAAAAAAAAGCAAAAATTAAATGAAAAAACAGATTCTATATGTAACCCGATTTATTATGTAATTAGTGGCAATTTAATTTTGTAAGGTTGCTTTCATTGTCTTTGTATATATGTCAGCCAATTGACCTATCAATTAATATGCCTGTTTGCGAATTGTCTTGTCAGTGAATTGTCCTGTTCGTAAATTATTTTGTCGGTAAATTATCGTTTCGGTAAATTGTCCCGTCGGTAAATTGTCCTGTCGGTAAATTGTCCTGTCGGTAAATTGTCGTGTAGGTAAATTGTCCTGTCGGTCAATTGTCCTGTTGGTGAATTGACCTGTCGGTCAATTGTCCTGTTGGTCAATTGATCTGTCGGTCAATTGTCCTGTTGGTCAATTGACCTGTCGATCAATTGGCCTGGCGGGTGGATAGTGCTGTCGGTCAATTGTTTTGTTGGTCAATCGGATGTTGGCCAATCGGGTGTCGATCAGTTGTCCGGAACAGAAGTAAGATTTCCAAGATTTTGGTGTGGAACTTGCTAGCTCTCTGATTATTTTACGATTTTTATTTTTCTTAAAACTTCGTTAAAAACTTTGAGGTAACCATGTTTGTTTATTATAACCTTATTTAACTGTATTATCTGTATATTATGTATTTCTGATGGTTTTTATTCTTGTTGCACTATAGAAACATGTAATTAGGCACATGCCTGTTTGTTTTTGGAAATAAATTAATAGATAAATAAGTAAACAAGGTTTAAATAAAAGGATATAAAAAAGGTTACTTTAAATTTATTTGGATTTACGTTTTTTTTTTTTAAATATTGTTTTAATAGCACACCTAGATGATATAAATTACTCTGTTGAATGATATTATTACAGATAGAGTTTAAATAAAAATACTGAATTAAGATATATTGTACTTGGCATTCTATATTATACTCTTCACAGTTTAACAGACCCAGCTTAAATCCCTTTTTCAGAATCAATGGGCTTCATCCCTTTATAGTTTGATTTTTCCCGAAGATTTCAATGTGATATCGTTTTTTATTTCTTAGTTAGGCGTTTTTTAATATTTTAACCCCCCTACCCCCATTTCCGTTCAATTTTTTTTTTTTTCAGAACCATTAGGCTTTATTCCGTTATAGAGCTTGATTTTTACTAAAAATATCATGTTGATATCGCTTTTCGTTTTTCATTTGTTTTTTTTTTATATTTAAACGTCCCTTAACCCCCTATTTAATTCAGATTTTCTTAAATCACTAGGCTTAGTCCCCATATAAAGCCTCATTTTTGCCAAAAATTTATTATTACTTTCGTTTTTGAGTTATATTGTTTTTTTTTTAATATTTCAACCCCTCTTAACCCCCATTTTTAATCAGATTTTTTACAAAATCAATAGGCTTCATCTCCTTATAGAGTTTAGTTCTTGCCAAAACTTTGAAATTATTTTTCGTTTTTGAGTTAGGATTTTTGTAAATATTTCAACTCCCCTCAACCCTCTATTTTTAGTTAGATTTTGTTCAGAATAGGCTTTATATTCTTATAGAGCTTGAATTTTACTAAAAATCGCTTTTCGTTTTAGATTTATGATTTTTTTTATTTCAACCCCCCTTAGCCCTCCATTTTTATTCGGATTTTTTCAAAATCAATAGGCTTCGTCCCCTTATAGAGCTTGAGTTTTGCTAAAAAAAAAAGTTGATATCATTTTTCGTTTTTGACTTATCTTGCTGACAAAAAACGTGACATCGGACGGACTTACATTTGTAAATTTAATGCGAAGGATTTTGGTACAAACATTTTTAAAATTGGAACAATATTAAAAAAATTTGTTTCATGAAAGTAAACCTATAATGCCTGCTCTTCACAGACTCCTGTTTCAAGAGTATAATGATTGTAATAAACTTACTCATTTGAATTATCAATTTACTGCGTTTTCCTTTTTCTATTGACATTTGTCACTGTAACTAAAAGTTTTATTTAATTTTCCAGGACCATATTCGCTTTCCAGAACACGTCTTCAACTTTTTGACTATGGAACTAACCTTTTCAATATTTCTACGTATTTCAATTATTTCCCCCTGTATAACAAATTAGAAAAGCATATTTCTTAATAATTAATGATTTTATTTATTTATATTTTTAATTTTACTCATTCAATGCAATACATACGTATATTTTAAAACTATGTTTTGTTTTAACAATACTAATTATATTATTTGAGCATGAAATTTGATTTCAGATGATTAACAACAAAGTCTACATAGCGCTTCTTGCTTTTCTTGCCACTTCTGTCAGTCAATCAACAAATTCTTCGTCTATCTCGAAACCAGGCAACAATTCAACGGCTAGCCCATCACAAATAAAAACATGTTTTATAGAAAAAACTAGAAGAGTCCGTACATTCCCCACACTGGTAGATTATCAAGGCAATCATTACAGCTTTGATCCTCGAGATCCGACATACCAAGGCAACATAGTAAACTTCAGTTTTACCACAATTTACAACCTGTCAACCAATGATTTCGTGAGTTTTGGCTCGGACAGTATCATGGAGATAGACCTTCACCACAAAGAAATAAAGTCTGTAGGAACTGGCACTTTTAAAGGCTTGTTTTGTCTGAGTAAGCTAGATCTCAGCTTCAATAACCTTAGTATGGTAACAGAAGGTAGTTTCGAAGGTCTAGAGAATCTTAAACAACTGGACCTGAGTCACAATCAACTTGTAGACATTCCTGATAGCGGTATGGCGTTTTTGGCGTTAAAGAATATAGAAGTACTAGATTTATCGTTTAACAAAATAAGATCCATAAGTAAGCTCTCCTTTATGTTTCTGTACAATTTAGAAATTCTGAATTTAGGTCATAATAAGATCAAAACTATAGACGACAGAGTTTTCAACTACTTGACACAGTTGAAAGAACTGAGTCTGAATGACAATCTATTAGTGGAGACTTTCGCTGAAAAATGGAATGGTTTAGAAAACCTCACGAGTTTAGATCTATCAGACAACTATTTGACTTCATTTGATACTGGCAATAACTACACTTTCTATAACTTGAAACGACTGAATTTGAGCGGCAACAGTTTGCAGCACTTTAATGTCTATTGGCTTAGAAAGAATTTTCCTGCTTTAGTTAGTTTGGATTTGGCGAATAACAGTTGGTTTTGCGAAGATTTGGAATCAATCAAGCATGGAATAATCGATTTGAGAATTACTATTCCTCGTGAGGTAGGTTGTAGCGAGATAAAAACAACTTCTGTCAAAACTACTACCACACAATCTACTACAGCTGTACCAACGCGTGGTGCGGTTCAAACCAGTAGTCAGCCTCAGGTGAACTATGGAGTGGAACTTTTGAAGCAGAACGGCAAAATTATAGAATCCAATAAGGAATTAGTTATGGCTGTTGACAGTTTAAGGACTATGGTAATAATTGTTTTTCTTGTAGTGATAATAGGAATGGTTATAGGGATAGGTGAGAGGGCGGGTTGTTTCAAAAATTTATCGCAACAGGTAAGAGGTAGGAGTAATAGGGGATATTTAGATTCTAATGATATTGAAAGTGTTGGTTTGATAAGCCGTTGAAAGTAGATGATAATTATTGAATTGTTGATGTTTAAGATAATAGGAAATTTTGTTGAAGAATATTTTAAAACAATGTGGAAATAAATTTCTATTTTTTATGTGATTTATAATAAAATATCTCTTTCAAATGAATTCTTACTACGGAAGTTATCTTGTCAATTTTACCAAAAATCAAATAACTGTAGGATTTTTACGATAATTTTAGAATGACAGCAGACCATTAGGGATTTAGATTATCATGTTGTTAACTTTTTAAGGTATTTGATTAAAAATCATGTATTTTTTTATTATTAAACCCTAATTTAAAAAATTACAGTCATAAGAGTATCATTGGACTACCAGCTAACTTCTTCATTCCATGGCACAAAAATTTTAATATTTTCCACTACACATTTATTGACTGATAAATTGAGTAGTAATTGCAAGCTTTTAAAATTGAAAATTTTAAGTAATTCTTAAGATATATCCTGGTTAGACCAATGTAAAAAGTTCTCTGAATGGTAGTGAAAGAATATTTATCTCAAATATGCATTTATAACTCTATGTATTTTTATAATAAATGGATTCTATCCCTGAAATACTATTCTGGAAGGTCTGCAAAATATTCATCTACAAACCATATATTTCTTTAGGTTTGGAAGTAGATAAGGAACCAAATCTGTCGAATAAGCATAGCCTTTCAGTTGCACGTCACCAAATATGTCTTTGATTACTACATGAAATTTGATGGCGACTCTACAAAATTTTTACAGTTGTCAGGATCGTATTCAGCCAAGTAGGAAAAGGCTTTGAAATTAATAAGAATTGTGATATCAAAAGATTATAAAATAAAACAAAATGTATTTTTAATTGATATTTATTATCATAAATAATATAACATTAGTAAATAAATTCCTAAAATTAGTTATTATAAGACAACAAGGGTCACTTGCCGGATGAAACCTACAATAAGAAATTAGATCTGTTTAAAAAATCACATAAGTTTTATTCGATAAACTAATTACCTTAGAAATCATTGAAATTTAACAAAACTGGTAACGTTAAACTTGTAGAACACCAGCCATTTTTGAATACAATACAATAAACGTTTATTATGCGGAGTTGTCTTCCCTCAAGTCCCAATCTGATTCGTTATCTGAATCGTTTAAATCAATGATTACAGGAGAGATATTTCTTGAATCAATTTTGGAGTCTCCCAATAATTTTTCTTGTATGGTCTAGATACCTCTTCCATTTTTCTGGTATAATCTACAATCACATAACAGATATAAACCATAGCATAAGAAAAAACTTTGCATTAAACCTGTTAAAGAGATTCGTTCCAAACACTAATTACAGTATCTGCAGTAATACGTTCTGCCGAAGTTATTTTTGCATCGTAATACCGTTTACACTCAGACCAAACAAGTTCAATTGGATTGAACTGGCAATGATATGGAGGCAGTCTCAACACACGATGGCCATGCATGTGTATTTAATCTGTTAAATATGCATTTTTAATATCTTATTAAATTATATCATATCAATACCTGTATACTTTATCTGGTACATGTTTCTTGGCAATTTCTAACAATTCGAACTTCTTACTAGGCTTTGAAAACTGTATATTCCTTTCTTTTAATACAGTTTTAATACAAACGCTTGCTCTTTTTCGCTATACCTCGGCATGTTTATAATTATCAAAATAAATAAATAAAAAATAATATTCCAACTTCTAAAAAATGTGATTAACCACAATAATTACAAATGGAACTAATGGAAGTACTGGTCTGATAAAAACTGTCAGACGTACACTTTGACGTTTATCAAAAACCTGTATTGTGTCAATTGTAGATATTTAATATCTACGTGTAGATCTCTCATGATTTTGTTGCGTCACGAAAATTTGTAGAGGACGTACCATTTTTTGCATTTCTTTTACCTTAATGCGATAAAGCGAGATAGATGCCGTATGACGTGCAACTGAAAAGCTATGAAATGAACTATACCTTCATTTTCCCATTGCTAAGGCTGCGTTAAGTCAACGGTCAAGTTGACTGGTATGGTCAGACCGCTCGCTAGGCGATGTAGTCGAAACTGTCTAGTCCTATTTTGTAAAATTCATGGCCGAAAATTACAAGACCAGGCAGTCCCTCCTGTCTCCTGTATTTTGTGAGTCCCTCGACACATCGACAGTTCTAAAGAATGCGGTAAACTCAAGACGAAGGCATTTAAAAAAAATATGAACAGCAGAAAGAGAAATAAAGTTTTTTTTTTTTTTTGTAATTATGGCTATTTGTCTGTTAGCTTTTCAAACTGATGATGAAATTTCATTAATAAATATAATAATTCTTTTGAAAGTGTAAGTTCATCAGCATTTTGAATAGAAAAGATTCTTGTAAGTGTTGATTTTCCGCCTATTTTAGAGTAACTGGTGACTAATCTCATAATAATATTACATAATATTTGGTTTTTCCCGTTTCATGTTTTAAATTGGTTTTCAACAACATTAGTTTATCCATAACTAATAATTTCTTGTATGTTTAAATTAAATAAAAACATGAATTGACAATTGGCCATTCAATGGACAGTTTTGACCAAACAAGTCAAACTCAATTTCTCGACTGTTCTGACTGACTGACCGATCAGCTGATTAGTTATGACTGGTCATGTTGGTCGGTTTTCTCTTTCGCTAGACAGTTTCGACCGGTCCGACCGCTCACTTAACGCACCCTAAAGAACCTTTATGGGTTGATACAATAAATCTACTAAACTCTTTCTTTTGAGATGCCTACGGCCTTTGTTATCTCTTATGCCTTTAAACGTAGATCGCCTTGAACAATCTTGTGTACCTTCTCGATATTTTTATCAATGGTTGCCGGTTTTGGCCATCCTACACGTCTATCATCTTCAAGATATGTACGACAACGTTTAAACTCAGCCATGCATATCTTGACAGTTGAAGACTAAAGAGCAGACTCATAAATATTTAGCAATTTTGGACGATTTTCTGCTGGCGACAAACCGACCAAAAAGAAACAATTTTTTGGCGGTACGATATTCTAATTTATCAATTTTAACGAAAGACACCTAACAGCTAACTTTATTCAATCAAGGTAAAACTTGACATTTGATTTTGTGACATGTTTGCCAATGTGGTAATTTGGGGATAGATGGCTCAGGTTCTGAAATTTCATGTTAAAATTTTTATACGTTGAATCAAAACTGCCGTTTATTTTAAAAATAAATCTTTATTGAATTTAGAAGATGTACTTGATAACCAAAACTCATAAAAAAATAAAAATCTTATCTTATACAAAAAATAGTTAACAGAAACCATCTTCCCTACATTGCAGAGATGAGATGGCGCAACTGAAAAAACAAAATATTTTTGCCAGAATATCACTTTCTTTTGCATAGAATAATACCACAGTCGTGGCAAAAGTTAACAAATTTGGAGCAGGAATCGTGAAACCATTTGGAGCAATGTAAGCATGTTACCCAGTCGTCAGATTTTGTGGTTCGGGAAAACGTTTCGCTAGAACCAGTTCATGACTCGTCAGTGTCGTCCATATCGTCTGAAAAGTCATCCTGTGTCGGTGCTTCTAGATCTTCGTCTGAGGATGAGTCATATTTGAAAGCTTTGTCTTTATTAACAACTGGTTTTTCTAGCAGCCTTTTCTTTTTGTTTGCCAATCGTTGTCTCTGTAGTTAAAATTTCTGCCAGCTGCTTGCTCCTTCGTCGAACCGAATCAACGTTAGCAGAAACAACTGGAACATTAAGATTTTGATTATTTTCCACTGCAACAGCGTCAAGGATATCAACTATGCTACTAATTTCAGTCAAATAGGTGTCATCTGGAATAAGAGTAGAATTAAATGGCACAATTCCCGTAGCCTTAAATGCAGAAATTTTATTATTAACAGTTGCAGACTTCTTCCATCCTTCAGCAAGTAACTTTTCAAACTGAAAAATAGTTAGTTTTCGTCTTAGATTATGTTTAATCAATAAATTACAAGCTGAGTAGTAGTTTAATTTTAACGACCTAAAAAAACCAGGGGTTGCAAAAATTGAGTCGTTTGACTCGGTAAGCAAAATACTAAACCGTTGTATTCAACACAGTATACCAGCATCTCAACGTTACTGCAGTGTGACGCATGATCATCCAGTAATAATATAATAATAAAACTGCCCCTGTCGACTTTCTGGAAACAAACTGATCTTTCAGTCATTTAAAAATATGTCGCTGTTCACATAGGCCGATTTTTCCGACATGTAGACCAAAGATTCTGGGTGCATTCCATCCTCAAACTCTGGTTTTTTGTTTTTGCCCTTTATGGCGTAGGTAGGGGGAATAAAAACAGATACTTGCTCTATTTTTGTATCAGGCCTATCATTTAGCTGAATGCCAGTTTCGTCCATATTATAAATATGACCAGGTTTGCCTACAAGGTCGTTTTCGGTCAGAATATTTTCTAGAAGCTGAAAATAAACCTCAACGTCTTTTTTGTTCATACCCAAGGATCGATTAATGGACACCTCTTCTGCTTTTGTCACTGGCAGCCTTGGGTTTCTCTGTATAAATAACTGAAGCCATGGAAAACCAGCTAATCTCGATTCCTTATTAAAACGATGTTTAATGCCCAACTGTTCGGTCAATTTAAAAGCCATACTTCTCAATGAGAGAAAATCCGTTTTTCTGACGTTTTAGGATATGTTTGACCAACTTATCTTCAGCAGCTTTGCCTAAGCTGGAGGAAGGTCCAAGAAGGTCTTTCTTTACATTTTTTCTTGATTTTCTTCTTCGTAGAGTGATTGCCGATACTCCAAAATTTCGAGCAGCCTCATTAACTCCCATTCTATTTTCATTAACGACTTGAATGGCTTCGGTCAACTGTTGTTCGGTCCAACTGGCCTGGAGCAACTTCCAGTGCCCTTATATTTGGTAGACATACTGAAAAGAAAAAAAAATCTTAATCTCGCCTTAAAAACAAGAGGAGAGATGGCGCTCCTCACAAACTAAACACATCTTGAAATACTTGTCATTTTAAGATTATAAAATCAAACTTTAATGTTTTTACTTACTTGAGACGATATCTTGACTAAAATTAAGATTGAAGTCAAAGTTCACTAGCACAAAAAAGAAATTAGGAAAAATATTTTTGTCCCAACCGAATCACAATGTAAATAATTTTTAAATACGCTTTAATCAGGTAAACACAGGTAAACACTGACTAACGCACATCATGGCGTCTCCCCTCTTCTTTAACGGAAGCGCTTGCGCTGTAAAACTATTGCGCCATCTCACCTTCTGCGCCATTTCACCTTCTACGCCATCTATCCTCGAATTACCCTATCACAGAACAAAAATTTTATTAACACCGGCGTCTCTGTATTAGGCAGAGAACTTTTCACCTTGCCCTCGTATATTAAATGCAATTATTATCAGACATAAGAATTTGATAATTTTAGTTAAATCCTTAAAAT